TAAGCACTCAAGAAGCTAGAGTCGCACTCGGCTATCGCCTGGTGCGACTCTTACGCTTTTTTCGTGCTTAGCAACCTCCCGCGTGCATCCATAACTCAATAGCGCACGCTATGGCGTTTACCATTTGTTAATAATAAACTACTATCACTACTACTACTACTGTGTTCAAAATGTCACGTCGGTTATTTTGTGAATAAACGAGTAGTAAGTTCTGTTCCTGTGTTGACGGCGCGTTCCAACAGGTGCGAGATATTTCAGTACTGTAGATGAGGGTTTATCCATTGAATTACTAACCTTAGTAAGATACGTGTGGTCAGGCAAATACTCTAGTTTTACCACATCTGTGCCTTTAGATTGCTCAAGGTAAAACTGGTACCAGTTGTGAAATCCATCGTAATGTTTTCCTAATTTTCCTCTTTCACCTTGAAACAGTTAAAGTGACAGTTACTTGAAGAGGAAAAGCTCATTGTAACTTGTGTGATCGAGTCGTGTTATTAGCATACATATACATGGAAAATCGTCGAGAAGTCCCTTGCCAGAGAGAATTCACACAGCTAGAGAGTCATAGTTACACATAACAGACTGTGTAAGGTTATGTACATCATCGTCACTTGTTTCCTGATATTTGATTGGATTACAGTAAGCTACCATCGTACGTGTAGCTTGTTCTTTACTTTACTACGGCAGTAAACGACTAACCTCATTGGCCGCCGGTAATTTCTGGCGGTGGTCGCTACTATTTGTGATGGCGATGGCATCATTGAAAACAAAGCCTTAATCATTTGCTTAATCCATAATAATTTCACGGAATTTCGGCTGTTAATGGGTAATTCCTTCTATGAGAGGAGCCTGCAGGGAATCATGGTGTTTGTATTCAGCATCTTGCACTGGATATTTGTTTTCATGAATACAACTACCATGATTCCCTGCAGGCTCGTCTCATAAAGGGAATTGCCCACTAGATCTGGACTAAGTCTTAACTATGCATTTAAAATAAAAAAAGGCTGTACATTAGGCCTAGATAAGGCGAGTATTAACTATAGACCCAGCTAGATTCATCGCTGACTAAAGGATGTGGTCCAGTTTCAGACCCGAAAACTCAAATTCCCAATGACGACGTCGGCCAAACAACTTGACCCTGCTGCCGTTGTTAGGAAACTACAGGTTGACACCTCCTTCCACGCTTTGGTAGAGAAGGACATTGTGGAGTGTTTGGTAGGAGAAGTCCATCAAGGACTTTTACCGCGATATCAGACACAAGGAATTGAAATCCTGACCCCTGCTTCGGAACTCCAAAGCAAGTTAATACCACGAGATAGATGAATGAATGAATGAATGAATGAATGAATGAATGAATGAATGAATGAATGAATGAATGAATGAATGAATGAATGAATGAATGAATGAATGAATGAATGAATGAAACAAAAAAATACAAAAATACAATAAAAATACATTGAATTCAACTCTATTCTATGCTATTCTTGTTTCAAAAACTCGCCAAACATCTTTGCTTGAAGATTTTCCTTAAAATTTACTGAACTTTTGCACGGTTTAAAATCTTTATCTAATGAATTTCATAAGTTTACCACCCTGTATCGAAATGTCCTCTGACCAGTAGCGGTTTTACATAAAGGAATGTTAGGTTGTTGGGAGTTTCTTGTTTTAGATAACTGCCACTAACCATGGCCACAGCATAATCACATCACCTACCAACAAAAACATGTTCGAAGCCCTTAGAAGTTTTGCCTGGAGGCATTATGAACCACAGCTCCTTTAAGACCTCCTTAAAGTCCTCACGATCCTAAAACAAAACAAAACAAAAAAGAAAATGGGAAACAAGATGATAACAGCATCGAAGAAATTCTCCATTGAACGGGATTTCTGTGGTACAGTTTCTAGAAAGCACGATTTTAATCACCATCTCCGCTACCGTACTCCATCCAAATGATTTGCAAGGTCATGCTTTCTTGCTTTTTATAGAGTATACCTACAGTACGTACTGGTTTTAGAGCCGGATGTACGCGATCCCAGCTGAGGTGGAAAATAACTACACTAAACCATTATAAGTATACGCTTTTACGAGATATCACCATGAAAAATCAAAATATGCACCACTATTCTATCAGATATTATAACAATTTTGCGATAACAGTACTACTATCTGTAGGATATCGATCAACAGGAGCCCTAATGAGCTCCTGCGATCAATCATATTGTGGTCCTGCCCTTTATGATCGAGGGCCCAGACCTTCCCTAGAAGCTGAACTGCACATGATAACACAGGCTGTGGCACTCTCATCCCCAGTTTCCAAGGTCCACACTAGGCACGCCTGGAACCATTACCCCACGAACGGCTTTCATTTTATTACTCGGGCTTTACTACGGAAGCCCGAGTAATTAACATTGGTTGTTTTGGAAATGGGACTAACAAGTTTTAAGACGTGTGGCAATTTGACATACTTTCGCATTACTTTCCACGGTTTTAAAAATACAAGTCCAAACAGTACGATTTTTAATCGATTGAAGCCAGTCTTTTGGTTGAGCTCTCTGTAATCGCACAGTCACTTAAAGCATGCGTCACTTCGCAAATAGAACTGTTTATTTGACTAGTTCCGCTACCGACAGCCTTGAAATTAGTTTGTAGCGAATGAAAAAGAGTCAAAGTGCCCAAGTCAGTTTTCTTCGCATTTTGATTTGCGAACACGAGAAGAGTCTCTGATAGTGAAATTCGAGTATCGTATGAAATTTGTGACTCTGACCACGATTTCCGCTGGCCACAATGCACGAGTTTTCGATGTCCGTCTATCGATGCTTATTTTTTTCAGCACTGTTCTCCGTGAATTACAAGCTACGGAATTAAAATTTAAAGGGTCTTGTGGAATAAATTTTGGCTGCTTTGATAGCTATCTTTACCTGTTTTGGGTCAAGTATCTTCTTTGCTTTCAGATATTCCCAAGCCTTGGCCATAGGTCCACCTGGTTGTATTATCACCTCGAGAAATGCTTCTTGACTTTTGTCGTCTGCATTGTTCTGCAGTAGATCTGTGAATAATTAAAACTCGTAATTCGTAAATCCTCGAATAAGCGCCCCCTTCAAATAAGCGCCCCTCCTATCAGCCAAAATTCAAAATTATCCCCCCCCCCCCCCCCCCCCCNGCCCTTCCCATCGGCCAAAATTTAAAATAAGCGCCCCCCTCGAATAAGTGCCCCCCTCCCCTCCCCCCATCTTGTGGACGAGTAATGAGACAACAAAGGATGTATATTTTTCATCGCGTAGGATTAGATTTGTTTATCCTTTCAATCTGTGAACACGTTTAGTTTGGAGAAAAAATACCAACGGTGCCGCGATTTAAACTTTGGGATTAGCTTTTTATGTCGAGAAACATCTTTTGTTGTTGTTTACGCGCAGATGCTATATTTTTTTGGGGAAAAAAATTAAATAAGCCTCCCCCCCTCGCCGTTTAAGCGCCCCCCTCGAATGAGCACACGCATAGTTTGTCATGTAGCAAAAACCAATAACATCAAGAAAAGTTATTATCATTTCGCTGACTATGGTGAAACTATTTGAAAACAAATTTGAATAAGATGTAAACTAAAATTGTTGAACAACTGCCCTCGAATTTGCTTTGTGGTTGTCTGGAATTACAAAGTATTCTGGATAAGGAAAGGCCTTTGGATTTTGTTTAGAACCTTGTTAATTGGCGAAAATAATTTGATCTCACCAGCTGTAAGAAATGGATACACTATGTATTCATTTTACTCCTTTCTGTTTAGTTTGGTCCTAATGAACTCTGTTATACACACTCTGGTGTCCCTCTAAAGAAAATGAATTACCTGCGAAAGTAGTGAACACTTTAGATTCTAGTTTGGCTTGTCCAGCTAGTTCCACCTTGAACAACGGCTGTGTATAGGTTTCGTCAAGGTTAACCTTTAATTCCGTGGGAATGTTCAGATTGTTTCCGGCAGCATTCCATATTTCTTGGCATACATTTTCAAGATCTTTCTTAGCCTTCATCATGCCTCTTACGCAGGGAGAGAAAACGGTTCATAACACAGTGGTTTAGAGGTAAGGATTTGTTTTCTTAAGATAGATCAACATTTCTTTCTTTCAAACGACTTTCTAAATATCTCAGATTTTGATCAAGTTATCCTCTGTGATTTTACAACCTATTGGACTCTGACACAACCGTTTAACAGTAAATTCTATTAATATAAAGTATATATACTCATATATTTTACCCTAAAAGTTTAAAATTACTTACCTTGTACTGGAAATGGGAATTAGTAGGAAGAAAATCAATATTTTTCTCATCCTCCAAATAAATTCGCTGATTATTGGCTGTAGCGTTAGTATCTTGGAAATGTGCTGTAATGCTTGGTTAATCTTAAATTTATTCCTTTCCATCTATAAATATTTAAATCCTACGCTACACTGCATAAAGCTAATGACAGAAATAAAACCTAGAGAAAGGCGACTATATCGGGAACAGAATAAAAAGCACTTAACTATCATTAGCTTTGCATAACTAGCTTTTCGAGCTATAATTTTACAATGCAATCAAAATATCATTTTTCAGCTTTGATATTAACGCTAGCCGGTACCGCAGATTTTCGTTCTATAGGCTTTGTTCAATTTTGCCCATTTTGTAGCTAAAAATGATGTCATCGAGGAAAAAAGGGCAAAACAAGGCAAATTCTCCCTTATCCCGGGTTAGCTTAATCGGGCCTTGAACAACCCGGCCCAGGAACTCCGCTTTTAAGCTTGGCTAAATATATGTATTAAAGAGGACATCAGTCTTAGAAGTCAGCGGCTATGATAATGGTGGTGACGTCCTCATTAAAGCAATGCTATTTTTCTTGTGGTAAATATGAGTTGTAGTAAAACGTCTTAACAAATCATGAGGATTAAAATAGCAATTGTTGCTTGAATGAGTTTTCCTAATCGTTTAATCATATTGTAAGGCATTTCACGTACAGATTAAATTTCGTTAATTAAGAAGGTCTCGCTAATGATCTCATGATTGCAAGTAAAACATATCTTCATTTGTTGATTTGAGGATTTAATTTAGCTTCATCAAGACGAACTTTTGTCCTTGATGTCATTTAAATATTTATGACACCCTTTTAAAACGCGAGTTTTACATCGAAGCGACGAGTCCGCTTTCCAAAACCGCCAAAATGCCTACCCTTATGTCTTCGTTATGACGTGAATTAACCTCCATCGGCTACGCGTGGATAGCTTATGAAAGGAATTGGATGTCAGTATTTCCTGAACCTTTTTTCATGTTTTTTTTTTTTTTTTTTTT